TTCTATTCTATTCTATTCTATTCTATTCTATTCTATTCTATTCTATTCTATTCTATTCTATTCTATTCTATTCTATTCCCTCAACCAAGAAAGAGAAATTAGTTCTGGGCCCTAGAGTCAGACACAACTGGACAGGGAAACCTTTAACTTTACCTTTACACAGCACAAGTGGTAGGTACGCATTTCTTTCCTGCTGTGTGTCAAGGCTGACTTGCTTTCATCGTTGCCTGCATCAGTTCTTGGAGCTACCAGCTGGCACAGACTGTTTTCCCAAACCAAAAGTACCCAGTGTGATTGATGGACAATGAACTGTTGGTGGCCCAGGGGGGTGAAAAGAGAGTTTTACCTCTGTGGGTTTTCACAGGAAAATCTCAGAGCTGACTTTGCTTCTAAGGTCAAGGTCAAGGTTCCCTCGCACATACATGCTAGTCGTTCCTGACTCTAGGGGGCAGTGCTCATCTCCGTTACAAAGCCGAAGAGCCAGCGCTGTCCGAAGATGTCTCTGTGGTCATGTGACTAAATGCCAAAGGCGCACGGAACGCTGTTACCTTCCCACCAAAGTGGTCCCTATTTTTTCTACTTGCATTTTTTTTACATGCTTTCGAACTGCTAGGTTGGCAGAAGCTGGGACAAGTAACGGGAGCTCACTCCATTACACGGCGCTAGGGATTCGGACCGCTGAACTGCCGACCTTTCTGACTGACAAGCTCAGCATCTTAACCACTGAGCCACCGCGTCCCTACGACTTTGCTTCTGCTGTGCCTAAATGGATCTTTCAATAAAGTTTTACCCTTGGTAATTCCTAAGTGCCAGGAGTTACTTTTTGGGGAGGTGCCAAATAGGATGGTTGACACTATGTTGGGGGCGGGGGGAGCCTTTTCTGGCTGCACTACCCACCCACCAACCCCCCGATTCATGGTACCATCTGGGGATAACTCACTTGCACTCCTTCTGTGGAACGCAGTCAAATCCATCGTACAGGCACTCCTCGTTGTCACACTGGGACTGGCAGTGGCCATCTCGGAAAACCCGCTGGCACAGGTCTCGCTTCGGGCAGTTCTTCCAAGGATCGAGCAACCCCAGCGCACAGTCTCCCCCATCCCAGCTGGTCTCTGGAGAGCTGCAGATCCGGTCACAGTGGGCATCTCCTGCTAAGGACGGGCACCTGGAGAGCGAGGTGGCATTGGCAGCAGGGCAGGACGCTGCGGAACATGGAGGCTGGTGGCAGTCTGGCCCAGAGAAGCCTTCCATGCAGAGACATCGAGGTCCAGATGGGTGGGCAATGCAGACCCCTCCATTGTGGCAGTAGGAGGACCCACAAGATGGGGCGGGCAGGTCACAAGTCGATCCATCATAACCCTGGGGTAGAGGAGATCCTTTCTCAGTCTTGCTGGATTCTTTTCATTCAAGTCACCGGCAATTGGGTGGCACCTCATTATTTTTCCCAATTAGCTCTTGGGTGGATGCAGAAGCAACCTTATCAGATCTTTGGCCCATTCATCCAAAGAACACCCCATCTACTTACTGTATTTACTCAGCGTTCCCTAAGCTCTGCCTGGGTGATGAAGTGAACAATTTCAAAATGAAAATTTAATGTAGAGAAAAGCAAGGTCTTACACCTAGAGGCAAGAAAAACCAAAAGTACAGCAGCTGCCAAAAAAAGCCAACACAGTTCTAGGTTGCATTAACAGAGGGATAGAATCAAGACCACGTGAAGTTTTAATACCACTTTATAAGGCCTTGGTAAGGCCACACTTGAGATATGGCATCCAGTTTTGCTCACCATGATGTAAAAAAGATGTGAAGACTCTAGAAAGAGTGCATTGAAGAGCAACAAAGATGATTCGGGGACTGGAGGCTAAAACATATAAAGAACGGTTGCTGGAACTGGTTATGTCTAGTCTGATGAAAAGAAGGACTAAGGGAGACATGATAGCAGTGTTCCAATATCTCAGAGGCTGCCACAAAGTTGAGGGAGTCAAGCTATCCTCCAAAGCACCAGAAGGCAAGACAAGAAGCTGTTATGTCTCCCCTTTAAATGAAGGAGGGCAAAACGAAACAAGCAGTTCCAAAATATCACAAACCAAGAAGCAAACTCTCACAAGAGGACCGATGAAGTATCTTCAGTCCTCAGCAATAAATCCAAACTCTGTCCGGCAAACCTGATGTGGCTATAAATCCCAAAGCCTCAAAGAGTTCTCTCCGTGTGTTCACTCCCATAAATCACTTTGCTTCTGGCAAAGCTCACCAGCCAAGCCGTTTCCTTTTATCCTCTATGAGGGCGTGTTAATCTCCTTAATTAGTCACTGGCTCGACGCCTCCTCCCTAATTGAGATTGACGCCTCATCCTTCGTCTGTTTCTCACATCTAACCAGGATCTTTCCAAAGACTCCTCCCCACTAGAAAACTCTCGCATGTGTTCCTGGTTAGCTATTCCTGGCTGTTGCTCAGCCAGAGGAGAAGAATCAGAGGAGGTCGAAGGTCCTGACATCTCTATTAAATCAGGTTCGTCTCTCCTAGTTAAATCCATTTCCTCATCCTGACTACAATCCAAATCGCTCAGCAATGCCGGCTCATAATTCACTGCCATTTCCTCTTCGCTTGAGCTCACATCTGCCAACGGAACAGATTCCAACTCCGGAGTCACAACAAGAAGCAATGGGTGGAAACTAATCAAGGAGAGAAGCAACTTAGAACTAAGGAGAAATTTTCTGACAGCTAGAACCAAGAGGCAAGGAACCACTTGCCTCCAGAAGTTGTGATTGCTCGAACACTGGAAGTTTTTAAAAAGATGTTGGATAACCATTTGTCTGAAGTGGTGTAGGGTTTCCTGTCTAGGCAGGGGGTTGGACTAGAAGACCTCCAAGGTCCCTTCCAACTCTGTTATTCTATTCTATTCTACAGGTACAGACTAGGTGAAACCTGACTCAACAGTAGTAACTACAAGAGGGATGTTGGAGTCCTAGTGGACAATACTTAAATATGGGCCATCAGTGTGGTCAAAAAAAGCCAATTAACAGAGGGATAGAATTAAGACCATGTGAAGTGTTAGTAGTTCTTTATAGAGACCACACTTAGACTACTGCATCCAGTTTGGGTCACCCCAGTACATGTTGAGATTTTGGAAAGAGTTCAGAGAAGAGCAACAAAGCTGCTTAGGGGCCTAGAAGTTATAACGAAGAATGATTGCAGGAACCGGAATATCTGGCCTTGTGAAAAGAAGAGAAAGAGGTGACATGATAACGTTCTTCCAATACTTGAAGGCTGCCACAAGGAAGAGGCCGCCTTTTCATGAAATTTAATGAATTTTTGGCAAATGGCTTTCCAAACTCTTCTTGAAAACCTCCAGTGTTGGGGCATCTACAACTTCTGGAGGCAAGTTGTTCCACTGATTAATTGTTCTCACTGTTGGCATCTATTCTCTGCCTCTCCATAGTTCTAGCTTGGTTCTTTCCTTCATAGGTTTCTTCTACCCGTTGCTTCTTATCCTGCCTTCGGGTGCTTTGGAAAATAGCTTGACTGCTTCTTCTTTGGGGAAACCCCTCAAATATTGGAAAAACTTCTGCTCTTCAATTCTACTTCTTTTTTTTTTTTTTTTGCTCAGCCCCATTCATACCTGTGGACAATGGCAGGTGAATTCAAGCGGGTTCTTGGGCAGCACGCTACAGGTTCCACCATTAAGGCAAGGATTTGACTGGCAACTGTCAATCATTGATTCACACAGAAGTCCTGGAGGGAAAAACAAACACAGTGTCAAAGAGTTTGTGTTCATTTTTACTTCGGTTGGTTTCTTCTTTGCAATCTACTAACGTTGTCCCTTCCTTTTTTCTGAACCTCTGGCAATTTGATCTTAGCAGTGTCTGCTACAAGGCCAGTTTCTGATGATTTGTATGTAGTTCTCCACCTACGACCACAATGGAACCCAAATTTTGGTTGCTAAGGTAGATAGCTATGAGGGGAGTTCTCCCCAAGTTAAGACCTTCCTTGCCACAGTTGTGAAGGGAATCGCTGCAGTTGTTAACGTCAGGATTCCGGCAGTTATTCCAATTAAATCACAAGCTTCGAGCCACACTCCCAAAACTAAACAGAAGCCATTTTTTATTACCCGATTGTCCAAACTGGGCTGAACCAGTAGAATACCACCACTGGGAGAAAGGGAAAAATTTAGCTTTTAATTAGGTGAAAGCCGTGGGAACTTTCAGAGTTGGCTTTCACCATTCATGCCAATATGATGTGTCCAATAAAACTGTTCTTTGAGGAATTTGCCTGTCTCGGAGTTCTACTTTCTATGGGTGCATTACTTGGAACCCTGACAGACGTATCGCAGGCTGGCTCTGCCCACCGCCAGGAATTCGATCCTTACTGGCTCAAGGTAGACTCAGCCTTCTATCCTTCCAAGGTCGGTAAAATGAGGACCCATATTGATGGGAGCAATGTGCTGACTCTGTAAGTCGCTTAGAAAGGGCTGTAAAGCACTGTGAAGTGGTATATAAGTCTAAGTGCTATTGCTAAGTGCTAAATGCCAGTTTTGGCAAAATGTGACCACAGGACACTGCAAACGGCCATAAATGTGAGCCTGTTACTGAGTCCTCTCACTTCTGTTTCTTTTAAGAGCCGTGATGGCATGGGGGTTAGAATGCAGTATTGCCGGCTAATTCTGCCGACTGCCAGCAGTTCAATTCTGACCGGCTCAAAGTTGACTCAGCATTTTATCCTTCTGAGATTGGTAAAACGAGGACCCAGATTCTTGGGGGGAATGTGCTGACTCTATAAACTGCTTAGAGAGATCTGTAAAGCATTATGAAGTGGTGTATAAGTACTATTGCTCTAGTGCTATCACCTTACCTGAATATCCAGGGTTGCAGAGACACTGGAAACCATGTTCATCAGATTGGCAGCTCTGGGACCCCGGCCGGTGGCAAGGCTGGGAAAAGCAGGCATCCACCACCCCCTGACACCTTTCTCCCACATATCCAGGCGGGCAGATGCACAAAAACCCCTCAGGCTGAGCCACACAGGTCCCACCATAGTAGCAGGGCGGGCTGGCTAGAGAGCAGGGATCCAGGTGACAATTGGGTCCTGGAAGGACAAAAAGAACCGTCAGATTCCTCTGTTCTTCACCCACACAGTCAACCTCAATAGCTTTCATTTTGTTTTAGGCAAAAGGTCCTTTTCATTAAAATGATGAGAGGCTGGGCTGGGAGAAACAGTAGGGGTCCAAACTGGCAACACAGTTGTGTGATCAAAGCACAAAGAGCGGCTCTAATACGGTGTTTCCCAACATCAGCCATTTTAAGCTGTGTGAACTTCAACTCCCAGAATTCGTCAACTGGGGAATTTTGGGAGTTTGAAGTCCACACAGTTTAAAATGGCTGACATTGAGAAACATTTGATCACTCCAATAAATCACTCTGGGTGGATACAAAATACTTATATCCCTAAGAGATCAATTATCAGTTATATTATTTTATATAGTGATATATATCCCCCTCTGGGGAGTATCCTGCAAGCATTGGTTCTTTTGTACTGTGTGGGGTACATACTCCATTTTTCCTGGGCTGACGTGGCAGCTCATTCCCAGCCCCATTTGGGGCATAGGATTTATTACCTCAAATTATCTTAATACGGGGTGTTCCACCTGGGGCTTGACTCCCTGCCAGGCCTTCTGTCACTTTGATTGTAGGAGGCGGTTAATTGTTGCTGTTGGTTCTGTGTGTTTTGCTCAGGCCTACACAAATCTCTCCCTCACCTTTTGTTCCTGGCGGACACAAACATCGAAAACCGTCTGCCGTCTTGGTACAGGTTCCTCCATTGAGACAATTTTGTGTTGGCGGACACTGGAAGGAGAGAGTGGTCAGCAGTTTCATCACTGCAGTCCTCAGTTTCATCACTGCAGTCCTCAACTTACAACAATTCATTTAGGGACCATTCAGAGTCATGATGTCAGTGAAAAAAGCAACACATGACCATTTTTCACACTTACGACCATTGCCACATCCCCATGGCCACATGTGTCAACTAAAAAATACTTCTTTGGTCTTTGTAGTTGCCAGCAGAAAGGGAGTGGGGGAAAGCAGTGCATTCCTTAAATGCTTCAGATAATCGCCTTGGCAGCCAAAGCTGTTGGCGCACAAGATTATTACTGGAGAGGATGATTGAGGACTCTTGGCTATGGATGTGTCTCATTGGAGAATATATATCGAGGGGGTGGGGTGAAGGCCAGGGCCAAGGGTGAAATGAATGATGTATCAGAGTTGGCTGCGATGAGGAAACACTGACATGTTAACTCCTAATAAATCAATCTTTTTTACTCTGAGAGATGCGGCTAGAGACTTATGATTTGAATGTGGGTGCATGTTGGAGTCCTGACAGCGTGATGCTTGGCGACTGACTCATATTATGACAGTTGTGAGGTCTTGGAGTGTCATGCCAACACTTTTGCAACCTTCTGACAAGCAAAGTCCATGTGGAAGCCAGATTCAGTTAACAACCGTGTTACTAACCTAACAACTGCAGTGATTCACTTAACAATGGTGGCAAGAAAAGTTGTAAGATGGAGCAAAACTTACTTAACCACTTCGCCACAGAAACGTTGGGCTCAATTGTGGCTGTACGTCGAGGACTACTTTCAGTAGTAATAAAATCCGAGAACCCTGGACCCGGGACCACAGTATTTAAGCAAACGAGTCCAATTCAAGTATCACTTACGGAAGCCTGGTCAGTTTCTCCGAGGACACGTCCAGCAAAGGGGAGTCTGTTTCCCTTGTCTCTCGGTTCCATTGTAGACCTGATCTTAGGATTAAGATGTTTTACCTAAAATTTAAGCCAAATTGAGCAACACAAATGACTGGAAAGAAAGTCAAAAAAAAAAAAGGACTGGAAACGAGGAACCGGGTATGTTCCCGGGTGGAGCAGAGCAAGTATAACCAGCGGTGAGTTTCAAACATTTTAGCAATGGTTTCTCTGCCTGGTTGTTGGGTGAGTGTGGCCATGGTGGGCGTGGCCTAGTTGGCCTCCTACTCCATGGTATGTGTGGGGGGGGGAGTTTTTGCCCTCCCTGGCTCCGGAGGCTTTCCTCGAGCCTCCAGGAGGGTGAAAACAGCCTCCCTGAGCTCCAGAGACTCTGTGGAAGCTGAAAATGGGCTCGTTTCTGGCTTTCCTGAACTTCTGGGAGGCCCATTTTTCTCCCTCCCTGAGCCTCTGCATGCACCCTGCACTTACCTGCATCCAAAATGGGCCACGTGGGGACTCCCGGGAGGGGTGGGGTGGGTGGGGCCAGCCCGGAGTGGGATTTGGGGGTTCTCTGAACTGTGCAGAATCTTAGCTAGGGGCTCTCCCGAACCCCTGCGAACCCCCAGCAACCCAGCCCTGAATATAACACCACCAACCAGGTGCATTTTAAACAGCTGCTAGCTTTGCAGAACAACGTCAAGGCTCCTTGAATGGATTTCCGTGCAATGACATTTTCTCTGCTCATTCCTGGAGGGGCAGCTATGGTTAAAAGGGTTCAGGGTGGGATTCGGCCGGTTTGGACCGGTTTGGGCGAACTGGGTGTTAAATTTACATCTGTTATGACAAACAGGTAGTTGAACCGACTGGCTGGCCTTGCCCACCCCACCCCTCCCCTCCCAGGAGTCTCCACATGGCCCGTTTTGGATGCAGGTAAGTGCAGGGTCCATGTGGAGGCTCTGGGAGGGTGAAAAACGGCCCTCCTGGAACTCCCGGAAGTCCAGAAATGGGCCTGTTTCCAGCTTCCTGAGGGCCTTCAAAGCTCGGGGGAGGCCATTTTGTCCTCCCAGAGGCCTGAGGGAAGCCCCCGGATTCTGGGGAAGGTTAAAAATGGCCCTCCTGTAAGTTCCGGAAGTCCAGAAACGGGCCTGTTTCCAGGTTCCAGAGGGCCTCTGGAGCTCAGGGGAGGCCATTTTTGCCCTCCCAGAGGCCCGAGGGAAGCCTCTGGAGCCTATGAAGGGCAAAAAATGAGCCTCCCTGAAGTTCCAGTAGGCCATGCCCACCATGGCCATGCCCCACCCAGCAACCAGGCAGAGAACCGGTTGCTGGGATTTTTGAATCCCACCCTTGACCGGGTTGCATTCCCTCCTTGAGACTTTCAAGGGTCTATCACAGTGATGGCAAAACTATGACACACGCGTCAGAAGTGACACATCCTGTTTGGGGGACAGGCCAGCGATCGTCCACACCCGACCATTATTTTCAAACGCATGTTCTCATGCAATTTTTGGAGGCCGTGGAGGCTGTGTGGGCGAATGGGGTGCACTCTTGCGTGGCCTCCAGAGCCTCTAAAAAATTGTGTGTGAATGGGACATTGCCTTTGTAAAATTTTTGGAGGTTGTGGAGGCCACCTGAAAATGAGGTGGCCTCATTGTACAGCCTTCAAACCATCCGGAATTTGTGCGAGAAGACTATGTTCTCATGCAACCTCCAGAGCCCTGGAAATGAGTTTGTTTTAGCTATATGTCATTTTTGTAATTATTTGACATTTCTTTATAAAGTACATAGCAGGAGCCATAGCGGCGCAGGGGTTAGAGGGCAGTACTGCAGGCTGCTTCTGCTGACTATAGGCTGCTTGCAATTTGGCAGTTCGAATCTCACCAGGCTCAAGGTTGACTCAGCCTTCCACCCTTCTGAGGTAGGTAAAATGAGAAGCCAGATTGTTGGGGGCAACCGGCTGACTCTGTAAATCACTTAGAGAGGGCTGTAAAGCACCGAGAAGCAGTATATAAGTCTAAGTGCTATTGCTGTTGCTAGTACTACACAAATTGACTATTTCTTTTTATATAAATGATCTTAGAGAGAATTCTCTTTTGTTTGGGGAAGGGAGGAATGACACACCGGCAGAGTCAAGTTAGGCATATCCCAACATTTTGAGGTGCCATCACCCACCTGATAGATGAGATTGAACAACCATTTGTCTGAAATGATATAGGGTTTCCTGATTGAGCTGGGGGTGGGACTAGAAGACCTCCAAGGTCCCTTTCCAGCTCTGTTATTCTGTTACCTCTGTGTTCTAAACTCACCTGGCAACCACCTTCTCCGCTCTGCTCCGTGCAGTTGTCTCTGTTCTGCTTGGTCCTGTGTTGGCATCGGGGGCCACCCCATCCTGGAGGGCAGAGGCAGTGGGGTGCAGACTCTTTCACTCTGCATTGGCCTCCGTTCTTGCAGGCGTCTGAGGCATGTTAGAAAGAAACAAACAGGGAGACCCAAGTTGACAGGCGTTTAGCTCAGGAAGGGTTTTGAGATGCCACCTGCTCATTCAGGAGCATTCTGCAATGTGGGGGAAATGCTACAAATTTAGAATTTCAGCATTTGAGCCTTTCTAGTTAGTGGTACAGCCCCATTTCCTGGCTATATCGCTAACTAGCCAAGTATTTTGTTCCTAAAAGGTAAAGGTTCCCCTCATCCGTGCTAGTCGTTTCCGGCTCTAGGGGGCGGTGCTCATCTCCATTACAAAGCCGAAAAGCTAGCGCTGTCCGAAGATGTCTCCATGATCATGTGGCTGGCATGACTAAATGCCGAAGGCGCACGGAATGCTGTTACCTTCCCACCAAAGGTGGTTCCTATTTTCCTACTTGCATTTTTACATGCTTTCAAACTGCTAGGTTGGCAGAAGCTGGGACAAGTAACAGGAGCTCACTCCATTATGCGGCGCTAGGGATTCGAACCGCCGAGCTGCTGACCTTTCTGATCGACAAGCATCTTAGCCACTGTGTAAAGCGTAATCACCGAACCGGTAGTAACACCAGTTGAATCCCACCCCTAGTGTATTCCATCACATAAAGCAGATTTTTTTCAAACTGAGCTATATCGGTGGACTGCCAGAATTCCTCAGTCAACATGGAGTTGAAAGTCCAACCAGAGGTGGCATTCAGCAAGTTCTGACCAGTTCTGGAGAACCAGTGGCGGACATTTTGAGTAGTTCGGAGAACTGGCAAATACCACCTCTGACTGGCGCTGCCCCCATCTATTCTCTGCCTCCTGAGTCCCAGCTGATTGGCTGGGTCTTCTTTGGTTGCCCTGCAGAGGAGAACGGAGCTGGAAAGCAGGTTAGTGGGGAGGGGAGGGAATGGGATTTTTCAGTATCCTTCCCCTGCCACACCCAAGAAGCCACACCCACAGAAAGGATAGCAAAAAAAAAAAAATTGAATCCCACCACTGGGTCCAACCATCCTAAAAAGTTGCCCAGTTTGAAAAACACTAACATAATATATAATATAAAAACACTAACATCATATATTATATAAATATTCCAAAAACTGTTAACGTGTGTGCTTTTGCAGGGCAACGACATGTGAGAGAATTGGTTAAGAGCGCAGAGCTGCTGGTGCTGCTAGATACTCACAGCCTGAGCAAAGGTCCAGCGTAACCTGGCATTTGGGTCCTGAATAACCTCTGGGGCAGAGGCAATGGAAACTTCCAGGGCTGTTAAGACAAGTTCCAGAATTCAAACAGGGGCTCGAAGAGCATTCGTCCGCATCTGCATCGCACGCTGCCCCTGCGAGGGACGGAAGAGTCAATGATCTGGGGAGGAGCCGTTGTGCCTGAGAGCTGCTGGGCCGCCCAAAGGAGGAACTGACAGATTCAGACCGTTGTTACCTACGTAGCCGCTGGGGCAGAGGCACTGGAAAGATCCCTGGCGGCTCAAGCAAGTAGCCCTCTGGTGGCACGGGCTGGAATGGCAAGCATTCACCTCTGCCTCGCACGTCCGGCCAGTCCATCCAGGTGAACAGGTACAAAGCGGTCTTGGAGAAAAGAAGGGGGGAGGGGGGAGAGAGCAAATGGTTTTATTTTATATTTTATTTTTCCATTTGTTATTTTATTTTATTATTTATTCATTTTTTTTAGATGTTAGATTATTTTAGATTCATTTTATTTTTCATTTTAGATTTTATTTTATTATTAATTTTATTTTTTAATATTTTAATTTTTTTGATATTTTATTTTTATTTGATTTGAAATTTTATTATTAATCTTATTTGATATTATTTGATATTTTATTTGATATTTTGATATTTGACATTTTATTTTTATTTGATCTTTTATTTTACATTTTTATTTTATATTTTATTTTATTAACAGGTTACACAGTGTCCTATCTCATGGCCATGGTGAACCTGACATGGTTCCGGTTAGCCTTATTCTTGAGCTGTGATGGCAAATCTACGGCATGTGTGCTACAGGTTGAACCCCAGGCAAACTTACTTCACTGCACATGCGCGCGCCTCCCAGCTGATTTTCGGGCCTTTTTTTTTTGACCTCCCAGAGGCTCAAAGGAAGCCTCTGCAGCCTTTGCAGGCCAAAAAACAGGCTCATTTCATCACTTCCTGTATTTCTGGAAATACCAGAAGTGATGAAACAAGCCCATTTTTCAGCCTCCAAAGGCTGCAGAGGCTTCCCTCGAGCCTCTGGGAGGCTGAAAAAGGCCTGAAAATCAGCTAGGAGGTGCACACATGTGTAGTGCAGGTAAGGGGGAGGCGGGGGGATTACACGTGCATGTGCAGGGGCGTGGGGGGGGTGCATGCATTGCCTTCTGGATGTTGGCATGCGAGCGAGAGCTCAATTTTTGGCACAGGAGCCCAAAAAGTTTAGCCCCCACTGTTCTACAGGAATTTTGTCATATTATTGCAGAAGAATGTCAGTGAAATCACAGCTTCACAGACCAAATTGGGGAGGGGGTTTATGTCATCTGCAGGTCTTTATTAAAGGCCAGCATACTCCCCATTGCAAGTTGCCTGACTTAGCTCCTAATAGGATGCAAATTAGATCATGCATGGCTATTTATGTAAATTATGCTGTGATACAAATGATGTTGATTGACACAAATGATTATGGAGGGCTATTTGCATAAAGATGCTGCGATGCTAATTAAAAGGAATTGTGCCAATAAGGTGCATTTGTTTTGCATCTCTTTTAAAAGGCTTGACTGGACTTGTTCAGATGTATACAGTCTCCTCAGGGGCCCTTTGGGGAATTGCTTGGATGGAAGTTTCAGCGGGTTTGACATCCGTTAAGCTGGAGAGAGCATTAAACGGAGGTTCTATTCTAGGATTTGGGAAGATAAAATTATATATATATGGGTAGTCCTTGACTTACGACCATCATTGGTGTTCTGACCCAGGGTTAGCAGAACCAAGAAACAGACTCCTTGTCCTGAAAACCCCCTCTTTATTTAGTTCCTGTGAATTCATGGCATTCACACACAGAAAAGTCCCTTCAATCATCCTTCCAAGGGTTAATTCAAGTGCAGACATTATCGGTGGCCGAGAGCTTCCAGTTGCAAAGCTGTAAATTAATTCCTGGCAAGGAATCTGTGAGTCTCCTTGCAGACAGTTGGTCATTTGAATCCTTTTAGAGGGTGGTTGAGGCCACTTAGAGATTTATGTCATTATCACCTGACTAATGCAAATGCGCAGATAAAAATCCAAGTGGCCTCAACGACTCTCTGCAAGGAATATTTAATCCTTCCATTCCCCACCATCCAGTCTTAGCTGAAGATGCTTCTTGGATGAGAAGTGAAACGTCTTCAGAGAGAAAAAACAAGAAAGTCCAGTTGCCTCCTGAAAAAGGCACATTTGGGACAACCATGACCTGGATGAATGAGAATCTCTACAGACTTTTGGTGTGTTCTAGTTCTCACAGAATTTAGAGGGAAGGCAGAGAGAACTCCAGGGTTCTGTTCCTATAACCTTATAATAAATGTACATGTATTTTACTTTAATAAAAGTACTGTCAACTCGTAAATCATTCCTATGCCTGTTTCCAAGTTGCCCTAAGGAGGAGCGTGGAAAGGCCTGAGGGAGCAGTGCGGCAGATGAAGGCCGTAAGCACATTCCACACTTCTCTTATGGAGATTGTAGCCTAGGCTACTGGATCTTCTGCCCTTAAAATGTGTGATTGATTACACCCAGCCCGTGTTTTGTTGGAGAATCTGATTTATGACGCACCCAGCAGGGTGGGGGGAAACAGGGTAAATAGCTGATAGTAAATTATATGTCTCAGAGTTGGCTTCATATGGGTTAGTGCCGGACATGTTGCTCCTAAGGTTCATGATTTATTAGAGCAATCGTCAGAACAAGTACATTTATATTTACATGCATGACTTTGGTTTCCTAGTCTGGTCTACCTTGAAGAACTGACAGATCCATCCTTACCCGGATTCTGTTCCGTGGCAGCTGCCTCCATTAAGGCACTGAAATGCCCAACAAGGGTCAGTGAATTCCTTGCAGAGAGGTCCTGTGAATCCTGGAGCGCAAACACAGGTGAAGGAGCCGGGGACATTCACACAGGTTCCATGCTCGCAAGGGGCACCACGACAGAAATCAACATCTCTCTCACATCGAAGTCCCTCGAAACCTGGGGACAAAATGTTGACACCATCAATCTTCTTCTGCCTTTTATCTGAC